CAGGGGAGGCGCTCGCCCGCTGCCTCCGCCCCCGCGGCGGCGGTCGGCGGCCCCCGGGAAGGCGGCCGGGGCCCTCCCTGCTGGGGGACGCGAGGCGCTGCCGCCGGGTTCGCCTTGGGGCCCGTTGGGCGCGCGGGTGTGAGGGGAGGAGATTCCCGCCGCCTCCCTGAGGAGAGACCCGGGCGAGGCTGGTCTTCCCGGCCCCCTCAGGTGCGTCCGTCCCCCATTCACTCCCTGCCCGGCGGCCCTTCTTCCTCACCTCATCCTCCATGAGAGACAAACCCGTGTGTGACTCTCTGGAGGTGCTCCCCAGGCTGTCCCTGAAGGCAGTTGTGCCCTCCCGGTGTGTTCTTCACCAAGGTGTGACCCTGCCAAGGTCTCAGCCTCTCAGTGTGGCACATGGAATCCTGTCATGGAGTGGTTTGGGTTGGAAGGGACCTTCAAGATCATCCAGATCCAACCTCCCACCAGACCAGGTTGCTCCAAGCCCCATCCAGCCTGGCCTTGAACCCCTCCAGGGATGGGGCAGCCACAGCTTCTCTGGGCAACCTCTTCCAGGGCCTCACCACCCTCACAGCAAAGAATTTCTTCTTGACGCCTAATCTAAATCTATCCTCTTCCAGTTTGAAGCCATTACCCCTTGTCCTATCACTATATGCCCCTCTAAAAAGCCTCCCCAGCTCTCCTGTAGCTCCCTTCAGATATTGGAAGGCTGCTCTAAGGTCTCCCTGGAGCCTTCTCCAGGCTGAACAACCCCAGCTCTCTCAGCCTGTCCTCATAGGGGAGGTGCCCCCACGCTTTATATATCAAACAGAATATGATAGTTTTTAGCATAATTGTAGACATGATGGACTTAGGATCTGAAGATGCTCTGAGTTCCGTTGGTTTTGTTGTTTTGGTTTCTGTTTTTAAGTTAGGCTGATAAAAGATGTCCCCTGCCTTAAAACCCCTTTCTCTGCTCATACTGCAAAGCACACCTCGCTGGCCGGGGGGGCAGCTCTTGGTGTGTCCCCCCCAGCACTCCTGCTACTCGTGTATGGCCGGGTAACACTTGGGTATCACCGAGGTGGGGTTGCTGAAAACCACCTTGCACAACTGAGGTCTCGTTATCCCCGTCCCGTGCTTCCTAAGGCTGCGTCTTCACTGGAAAGTCAATTGGCGTTGCCGCTGCCTAAATAAACACCTTTTGGCTCAGAGCGTTTTGCAGCCACTCCTCAAAAGAATAGTTTAATTTTACACATGCTTTTTATCCTGAAATCCATGCTTTCGTTTGGTTAATGCTGACCCCAGCTGCCAGTCTCTGAGCCCGCCCGACGCGGGGGCTTGTGTGTCCCAACAGCCCTTGAGTTAGAGAGCCCTCCCCTGAACTCTAAGAGAAATTTGTTACCTGCCTAATATCAAATCATAGAATCGTCTAGGTTGGAAGGGACCTTTCAGATCATCTAGTCCAACCATCAGCCTAACTCTGATAAGAAAACCATCACTAAATCATGTCTCTAAGCACCATGTCAACCCGTCTTTTGAACACCTCCAGGGATGGTGCCTCAACCCCTTCCCTGGGCAGCCCATTCCATTGTTTGATAACCCTTTCAGTGTAAAAATTTTTACTAATCTCCAACCTGAACCTCCCCTGGCGCAACTTGAAGCCATTTCCTCTTGTCCTATCACTTGGTACTTGAGAGAAGAGATGGACCCCCCCTGGCTACACCCTCCTTTCAGGGAGTTGGAGAGAGCGAGAAGGTTTCCCCTCAGCCTCCTTTTCTCCAAGCTGACCACCCCCAGCTCCCTCAGTTTTTCCTCATAAGACTTACTCTCCAGACCCCTCACCAGCTCTGTTGCCCTCCTCTGGACCCACTCCAGCACCTCAATGTCTTTTTTGTGTTAGGGAGCCCAAAACTGGGCACAGTACTCAAGATGGGGCCTCACCAGTGCCCAGCACAGGGGGATGAAGTAGTTACGTCAGAAATACTCCTTGTACTTCCCAGGTTCCATCGTGGGGGACATGAGATGCATGGGTAGGACTCATCTCACCTAATACCTATGTTGTAACCACGTGCATGGTATGGCTCACCTTCAGATGGCTGTCAAGCAGCCTGAGTGGAGCACTCCCTGGGTTCTCCCTGTGACTGGAAATGGAGCCTGTGGTCACAGCTGTGTAAGATTAGAGGAGACATGTCCTGTCCCATGTGTCCTAATTTAGGCAGTAAGTTAGTGACCGCTGTAAATAGTTTTAGTTTCTAATTTTCTGCTGTTCAAATTCTATCGGGTAATGGTTTTGTGAAGTGTAAGGCTAGAACACTTACTATGGCCTGTCTGTTTTGTTGGTGATGCAAAGATATTTCTTTGTGAAACCAAAACAATTCAGTGAAGCTAAACCATTCCAGCATGTCTGGTGGGTATATTGAAAGCAATTCAGGAAACTTTTCTTACCAAGTCCCACAAAGGAAAGAGCAGAAGCGAGGAACCGATACATTCACAGATTTCAAGGCATGACTGTGATTTGATGGCTCGTGATGAGATCAGCCAGCTGTGTGACTTGTCTGCAGCTAAAACATTGTCTCTCTTTTCAATTTTGTCTAAATTAACATTCCAGTCACTGAATCTTACTACCTCTTTTCACAGAGATGGGCTAGCACCTACCCTTGGGTATCTTTATGGGTATCACAATGCCAGCTTTTCAGCAGCTAGATCACTTTCGGTGACACTCCTAAGAATGCTTTCCGCTATTTTGATGTTGTAAGCAGATACACCAAATTAGAAAGCAAGTTATACCCAATTAGCATTAATAGTAGTAGTACAGGGGTTAGGCAATTTCCAACCTTCTACTCTGTGTTCCCTTTTACAGCCCCCCAAAAGGTCATGCTAATCCCTTTTGCCATACCATTTCCCCAAGGTCTCCTACTCAGACAGCTTTCTGTACGTTCTGCTGTGATTACCGCTTTCCAAGGCATTTTTTTAAACATGAGCTTATAGCCCATATTCCTTTTTGTTTCCAGATGTATTATGGTGCAGTTAGCTACAATGAAATTATTTTGTTTGCCTGCAAGGCAAATCAAATCAATCTGTAACAAGAAAGTAATGCCATCCTTTATTAAAGTCATCTGTTTGTTACCGGCAAGCTTTACATGAATATCATTGCCTGATTAATCAATAAAAATGTTAAATAATCTTTCACCAAGACTCCTTGGCAGTCCCACTGGAGTCACTCGAGTTGCTGGGATCTCCATAATCACAGCTCTGGTTTGAAATCTCTCAGTGAGCCAATTTAACACATCTGCTGCCTGCCCTGCTTTTTCCACTCCATGTATGCATTTCAGCCAATGCAATCCTGAAAAAGAGCAACCAAAAGAGACAGCAATTTCTTGATATAATCTGTTTTCTGTGAAAACATTCTGCATGCTTGACTTTTAGTCGCTATATTTTCATTAATGGGATGAAAATATTTCCGTTTATATTTTACCATCTTAAATCCTTTTGGAGTTGGATTTCAATGTAGTTGCTCATATCGAGTATCTAGCAGCTGAACTGCATGCTGATAAGTCATTAAGAGTAAGATCATACAGCTGGAGTAGAACATAGAGGGTCCTTACCATCAAGCAGTGGACTTGCCATGGCGAGAGGTGGAGTGAGCTGTGGTGATTCCCCATCCTCAGCTTTCTCTCCCCTGACAAAGAGATCAGATTAGCACTTGCCAAGAGAGATGCTTCTCCCCAGTTCAGCAACTCAGGCTCATAGACACAAACCATCCAGACTTTTTGAAAGGTTTGAGTTGGAAGCCAAGGTTTGCCCCTCAAATCGGCTGCCACTGATATTCTTCATTATTCTTTTCTCTCTCTGCCCCCCATTACTATGAGCTTTGCAAATTTGCAATTCTGACCTACTATTTTCTTCCATCCTACTACTTCTGTTGATGTCAACTATTTATGTGGCTCTTATGTATGTGTTGTCCTTGCTATGATATCAGAAGAACCTGTTCTCCAAACAATGCCCATAAGGAATCATCTGAGTATCCTAAAATAAAAATGATCCCAAGTTTTTCATTAGATTCCAAGCTTATACATCATGCCCAATACAGTGTCCTCTCAAAGCAGTTTTATGTTCTCTTTCTTTCATTGAACAGAACCTCTGCTCAAAGTTGGAGAAAAAAATATCAAAGCCAGCCACAGGAGTATCTAAGTATCAAAAAACCCATTCACTTGAATCAAACAGTGGAAGTGTGTCAGGAGCTGTGTGGTATTTTTTTGCATGAAGCCTATCTGTGAAATATAGAGTCCCACTTTTAATCAATATACGCTTGCATTTTTGACACTAAAAAATTAATCTACAAATAATCCAGAAAAAACAGGCAAAGTTAAGTTCTTAGAAGCCACACCCCTTTTCGTTACCATTTACTTTTAGTTTTCGCACTTTTCATTTATATATCATGCTCAATTTTAGTTTTCATATATTTCACAAACATATAAAAATATGAATTTTGCGTGCATTCTTGTTGTACTTTTTGAAATCAATGATAGTATGATACAATCTGACATCACCATTTTGTAATCCCAAGGTTGGGGCTGTGTCAGAGACAGTAAGATGTGTTGCACTGAAGTACTTTTACAGCTACTTTTGTAATTCTGAGCATACGAATGTTTAAGACTGCAATTGTTCAAGCATCGTTATGTAAATTTGAAATATGCCCAAACCAAATGTGGTCTCTGAGTAGAAGTTAATGAGCCTTGAGATGTCCACAGTTCTGCAGAGGTTCCCCATGCTGAAGGCAATTGTTTTTATGATTAGGTATAAATAAAGGAGATGAAACAAGATAAGCTGCTGGCAGCAGTGCTTTCAGCTGATTTTAACTAGTATATTCAGCAATGCTGCTGAATTATCAGCTACAAACAGAGTGTCATACAACGACAAAGTAGAATTTCTAAATAGAGTTATTTCTATTATCTCTATAGAGACTGATAAAAAAATCAAAATAATTAATTTGTGTGCTGTATGCGTTCTGAGTAATGAAAATCTAAAGAGAAGAGAAACGGAAATATTTGAGGGCAACATTGTGATTGAAACACTAAATATTAGATAATTCAGTGATATATATTGTAGAATCATGTGTAGTTTTAGTATTTGCTGTACCTTCCTGCACCTGGAAATGCGTTTGCCCAAAGAAAAATGCTGAAAGTGTTTAAAGTTGGGTATTTTCAGAGTTATTGATAAAGTGATGGTAGCGAAGTTGTTTGAACTAATGGACTTGTTCTCTTTTCCTGTTCTTGCTCTTTTTAATGTGTATCCAGTGAATGAAATGTAATGGCTGCTTGGGAAAGAGGGATCTGCCGCCACACACAAAGGAAATGAAGGTATTGATCTTAATCGGGTAACCATTTGAAATTATTTCCTGTAGGCTTATTTAACAGTTGACAGACAACAAAAGCACGCAGACATAGATACCAAAGGAGGAACAGAGCCAAAATTAGCAATAAAGAGCTTAAAATTAAATATTTGCTGTGTCATTAGCACCACGTTCCCCTGGAAAAGCAGGTTCTGAATACTGCTTATCAGTCTTTCATATTATGGATCTTCAAATCAAAATTTCAATGACCGGGTGGCAAAATGAGAAGTGCTAGAAGTAGAAATTATTTGGGGATAAGAAAACAAACCAAATAAATACTCTTATGATTAAAATTTGCTGCTGAAGGCAGCTGAAGAGAACTGTCTTAATGATGATCAGAAGGCAGAGGCAGTCAGAATTTTTTATTAGCAATTCATTCCTTTCTTTAAAATTGGCAGGATATACAGACCCTTCTAAAGTATTTTGGAGAACGCCACGCTTACTGTAGTCAAGCAAACTATTGGCTTATTTTTGCTTTATTTTCAGGGAGTGCTGTTGATTGAAGCATTACGTCTGAATTTCCAGAATTTGGAGTGATAGAAATAAGTTTCAAGTTTACAATGTTACATTTACAGAATCACAGAATCTTCTAGGTTGGAAGGGACCTTAAAGATCATCTTGTCCAACTGTCAACCTAACTTTGACAAAAATAGACACCCACACAACAAACAAAAAGCATCACCATCACTAGACCATACCTCCCAGCACTACATCAACCCGTCTTTTGAACACCTCCAGGGATGGAGCCTCAACCACCTCCCTGGGCAACCTGAGTTCTCCTTAAACCATGTAAGAGAGGCGATATGAGTTTTGGATATACTGAGGACTTCCAGCTTGCCTGGAAATCAGTAGAGCTGAAGAATCTGGCTAACCTAGAAAACTGTTACCTGTATATGTACATACATACATACATACCTGTATGCTCATCTAGTTGAAGATGTCCCTGCTCGTTGCAGGGGAGGTTGGACTAGATAACCTTTAACTGGCCCTTCCAACCCAAACTGTTCTACAATTCTCTGATTCTCTGACAGAGATGTAGCCTACAGTACATCTGCATATGTTGACTGAAATATCTTGTGAAAATGGCGTTTTTGTACTTCGGTGTGTTTTGTGAATAAACATTTTGTCAGCTTTTCTGGGAAGAATTAAGAAGGCAGAACAGAAACATGATACAAGGAAGGTGACAAAGATCCTGTGAAATTCAAAAAGATTCCAATTAACTGGTTTCTTAAAACTGTGAAATGTCGAATAGAAAAAAAAAATGAAATATCAGCAGCAATCATTACTGTGGGGAAGTTAGCTTGCTATTCAACAGGATAAAGACAAAAGGTCTAAGAGGGTCAGAGGAAAGTAGATACTTCCGTTGCTTTAGTCTTGAGAACATGTTACGAAAATACATACAATTAATTAAAAGAAAGCTATTCAGAGACCTGAGCTGTAAAGAGTTTTTCTTGCTAGCCACTGTCTTTTCTAAGTGCTGTGCAGACTTTCTGCAGAGCTGTATTTTAATCCTCATGCGAAATTAGACGAAAATGTTCCTGTGAAGAGCAAAACCTTCCTAATGATGAAGGCACTGGAATCACCAGAGTGCCATGAGTTATAGCTAAGCAAGGTCATTCTCAGAGGCAATTATGGGTATTACAAAGATAGTAATTGCTTCTTTTCTGCATAGATACATTGTAATTCATCAACATTTAGTTTCCCCCACATTTTTCAAGTTCTCTTTCAAGTCACTGAAGGCTTTATAGGAAGTAGATGATTTGAGAAATACCTTGTGTGACCTTATCTCTGCTTTATGGCCAGATCTCAGCAGTCAGTAAGATGTACTTACGTAATAGCATTGGAAACTTGCAGTGGCAGGAATTGGAGAAAAACAAACCCTGTACACATGTGGATCCCTGTAGCTAGGCCTAGCTGGTGGCCAGATTTTTATTATTTGAGAAATTTTTCAGGGACTGGAGTCATTCATAATTGTCACATTAGTGGACGTGGAAAAAAATCAGCTTTGTGTACAATGAGTCATACGTGTGCAAACTGTTTTTCAAGCAAGTTAACGTCTTCTGTGAGACTGATGTAACCTTATTTCAGCCCTGCTCTGTTAGATAGAAGGTGTTAATTTACTGTATTGAGCAGTCAGCATCTTTGTGTCCTTATTTTTGGAAGCATTAGTTCTCTGCATCACAGATTTTGCATGCTGATGGATGTCTCTGCAGACACTTGTTGCTGGAAAGCAGTTTAAATGTGGGCTGCCACATTATGCACTGTTATTCCAGAACAGAAGCGTAGCCCACTTCAGACAAAAAAATACCACGAAACAAGCTAAATGTTTGAGATTATCATAAACCAATTTTGTCTCAAGACATACATTTCTGAAATCAAGACACTGATAATCACCATCTGAAAAAAGCTTGGAAATATTGCACTACTGCAAAACAACACAAGTATTTGGGGAAAACGTTGCCATGATCTACCACAGCCAGGAAGAGACTTGTATTTGCCATATGTTACAAATTTGCCTCTGTGGTGTCTCATCTGGTTTCTACCGTGAAATGCCATCTGTCTCGTCCTCCAAATCTATGGAAAAGTAACTGCTGAACTCTGGAACGAAGAGATTGTGGATAAATATTTTGAGCTTAGTGCAGATCTGTAGGTATTTTATATTGTTAACTTTAAATCTTTATGTAGACATACAGTTATATTTTAGCAGAACATACAACACAATGAAAGTATTACAATTATTAAGATGTCACCCTTTTGATACCTGCAGGTAAAGGAGACCTCTGAGATACTCGTGATGCTGTGACCAGCCGCTGGCAGATCGTATGGCAGACGGTATCTAAGAAAGAATTCCACCTGCAGGTACATAGAGTCCTCTTAAACTTCGCAGCACCGTGAGATGAAGGTGTCCTAATACCCAAGTTTATAGATGAAAAGGTTTCACACATCAAATAGGATGGTTTTGGCAGAGATGAAAATGCTGTACTTAGATTCTTACAGAAATGAGGATTTGCTTTTCCCCATGGTTAAACCAGCTAAATTGCCTGCAGCCGTGTAATGGTTTTGGTAACGTGGGACTTCAGAGACTTGTTTCCTGAAGAATGTTAGGACTGAGTTTGGATTGACTTTTACATACTTTTCTAGGTATATTTACAAAATTTAACAGAATTTTAAAATTCTGTTTAAAAAAACCAACAACCCTGAACTCCATTTATTGTCCCCTTCTTTACACAAGCACAAAGAAAACTGTTAAGTAGAAATGAAGATGCCAAAAAGGACACTCTCCAGAAGTGGAGCAGGGTATTTTGCGTTAGAACAATCAGAAAACCCTTGCGCAGAATTGTCAAGAAAACTGGTAGTAGGATAATGGGTCAATATGAAATCTATAAAATGTTACTTTTATTCACACAGAATTAAACTCAATAGATCTGCTGCAAATGAATGAAACCTTGTATTTGGTTGTTAAGACAAGTACCAAATGTTTTGACTCTACTTGGTAAAAAACAGTGTTAAAGCGAGCGATTAGTATTTTTATATAAGGCCACAGTTCCCTTCTCCTTCCTCCCAGCTTCATTTGTGGCTGAAGGTGTGAAAGTCCTCTCTAGGGCTCTGCCTTAGGGCTCTCCAACGAAAATCCAATTTTCTGTGAAGTTCCCCTAAACTCTTATGGTTTGAACAGCGGAGACTGAATGTGAAGTGTGTTAATTACTGTGGGGGCAACAACTTTTATGTCACAGTGAAACATTTCTCCACCCCGATGTTACGGCCCATCCAAAGCACACCCCGTGCAGTGTTTCCTCTGAGCCTCTGAGGCGGGGAGAGGGGAAGAGCATGAAGTGGCCTCTTGGGAGGATTATGCTCCCTTGTTGGAGCCACTGGAGCGGGGACTCAGGAGCCACAGGGGGAAGTTGTGGGGTTGATGCTCTGTCTGGAAAACTGGGCATGGATTTGTTTGGGGAGAGAGCTGAGAGAGGAGAGCTAGAGAAGTGTATCTTGGTTGCATGCAGCTATATGGAAAGCTTGGCCAGATATCTGGGGTACGTATTTACTAAGCCTCCAATTAAAAGTGCAGATTGGAAGAACTGAGAAAATGCAAAAATAAGCAAAATCGTTAGTTGTACTGTAAAGGTAACACAGCATAACATGTTTTCTGAGATTTTATTTAGTGTTTTAATCAAGAATGGATAAAATTCACTCATTCCCTATGAAGGAATGAGATATTAATAGAAAATTAATGCATTAGTAAATATAAAGTCCTGAGAGTAGTTATGATTCTATGCCCACGTGGTTATTTCTATTGTTCTTAACACACTTTATCTTATACCTTAAAATGGTACAGGCTTGTTTTAAATAACTACTGAAAAGAGTAACAAATATGAGTTATTGGATAAAAAAGTTGATTCCCATGTCCCGGTAGCTGGCCTGTCTTTTGTGTCTTCTCCATAATGCTGGGGTTTTGTAGATTTGCTATCAGGTAACTATATTTCTTAGGATTTTTTTGTGTGTTTATGATTCTACAACATGATATATAATGCTGGGGTTTTGTAGATTTGCTATCAAGTTACTATATTTCTTAGGATTTTTTTTTTTTGTGTTTATTATTCTACAATATGATAAGCTTGGAGGGAAATTTATGTATATTGAATTTGGTGTCTATATTTCATAAAAAATGAATTATTGTAAAGAAATAATTTGCTGCGGGAACGCATTAATTGAATTAAAAGGTCATTTGTTCAAGCCTTCTCTCTCTGCCCAAGTAACTTGAATCCTGTTTTTACCACTATGCTGGAAGGACACACTGGAGGGATAAAAGATTTGAGTTCAATGAGGCAGAAGAGGAATGCAAACTAGATTTCTGGGGTTTTTCAAATTTTAACTCAAAGCAATGGGCAAGTAAGCGTAAAGAGCTGCCAAGATGCTGCCTCGTGCTTTGTGTGAGGTTGGAAGCTCACCAGATGATGAGTCCTGGGGCAAATGGTGGACAGTGTTCTTGTCTCCCTGTCCTCAGGGGCAGATGGCTCACCTGACGTGATGGCAGAAGTGGTCTGTGATACGAGAGCTTAACCACACCGGTTTTTAGCCCACTTTCTGTTTATAGCCTGATTGGCATATGCCTTGTATCAACTTATTCTGTATAAGGAGCCATGCCTGTCGCTGCCCCTTGGCTTCTAATTTGCCCTGGCTGTGCCTGCTGAACGAGGAGCTGCCAAATTTCAGCCATGCCCGGCCACTTGAGGACCATCAGCTCCTCATGGGTAGGATGATGGGGAGAGCTTGGCATCACAGACCTCATCTTCACCCAAAACACTGAGTGTAGCCAGTGCTGTTTCAGATAGGACAGTGCCCTTTGTGTCCTCCACTCTACCACCCAACAGAGGGTTTGGGTGAGAAGCCAGCACCCTTTCCTGGGACCATATATTGTCTTCCATTTTGGGGGATGACTAGTGCTGAGCTTAGGAAAAGAAGGGTCATATCCAGAGTGCTGCAGTGACAGCACGGGTCGTTCAGAGCTGCTGTCACATTGCCACAAAAGCAGGACAGAAGCCATCGGTGCTATAGAGCCCAGCCAGTCCAAATGTTTGCACTTTAGCTGGGGGCTAGCTTGGTGGCAGCAAATGCAATCCTGCTTTATAGTCTGTAAAATCCCTTTATAGCCTTCCAAGGACACGCATCACCTCAGAAATGAGAGAAAATATACAGGAAGGTAGGTAATTTGAAGATGATGTCTATGCTGTGAAATAGGCATGTCCCTATAAATCCCTTTATAGCCTTCCAAGGACACGCATCACCTCAGAAATGAGAGAAAATATACAGGAAGGTAGGTAATTTGAAGATGATGTCTATGCTGTGAAATTGGCGTGTCCCTATGGAGAGACCTTTCGTTTGGTCTGCTCCCTTCATGTCCACCTGCTTGGTAGTGGATATTAAAAACGGGTTATAAAAAAATCTTACAAATGTGTTAAGAGAACACAAATGTTCACTGAAAGAGTGGTCGGGCATTGGAACAGGCTGCCCAGGGAGGGGGTGGAGTCACCGTCCCTGGATGTGTTTAAGGGCCGTTTAGATGCAGTGCTGAGGGACATGGTGTAGGGGAGGACTATGTAGAGTAGGGGAGATGGTTGGACTCGATGATCCCAAGGGTCTCTTCCAACCTCTATGATTCTATGATTCTTTGATTCTATACTTTTTGTTTGGTCTGCTCCCTTCATGTCCACCTGCTTGGTAGTGGATATTAAAAAGGGGATATAAAAAAAATCTCACAAATGTGTTAAGAGAGTTAGATGTTGTGAGTTCAAACCCTCTCCAGCTGCAATATGACTGGAACCCAGGGCTTCCCAGGTCCTGGGCGGGTGCTCAAAAATTTGACCTTTATGTGAAAGACCTTATTCTCCAAAGGCAGCTGATTTGTTGAATCCTGAGTAAATGAAGACACTTTGAAACAGGAATTAGTTTTGCTGTCTAAAGCCATTAAAATGGGGAAAATGTTTTAGGTGCATCTCTTTCTTTGGTTATTGCCTGGTTCAGTCATCTCTCTGCACCAGCTGCTGCAGATCCTCACTGGGGAGTGTTACCCTCTGCCTAACTCAGGATAATTTCATATATAAGATTAGGCAAACGCTAAAGTTTGTTTTGTGACCTTCATCACAGACATGGGCAGAGAAAGAGGAGGAAGGATGGAGGTCCATGCATGACAAATCTCACACCAGGCCCCTTCCCACAAAAAAGACATTGAGGGGCTGGAGCGGGTCCAGAGAAGGGCACCAGAGCTGGTGAGGGGTCTGGAGCACAAGTCTTGTGAGGAAAAACTGAGGGAACTGGGGGTGTTCAGCCTGGAGAAAAGGAGGCTGAGGGGAGACCTTCTCACTCTCTACAACAGGAAAATTTTTTACACTGAAAGGGTTATTAAGGATTGGAATGGGCTGCCCAGGGAAGTGGTTGAGGCACCATCCCTGGAGGTATTTAAAAGACGGGTTGACATGGTGCTTAGAGACATGGTTTAGTGATGGTTTTTATCAGAGTGAGGTTGATGGTTGGACTAGATGATCTGAAAGGTCCCTTCCAACCTAGACAATTCTATGATTCTGTGACCTCAGTCCTGGCCTGAGCCACGCAGGAGGTATTCCTGTGCCTGGCCCTCATCCTGACCTGCTGATTTGGCTTCAGACCTGCCTCATCACCGAGGACCTGCCGGGGCTGTGACTGACCCAGGTTACTGTCACCAGACCTGCCCTGCTCTCCTTCCTCGGACACGGTGGGACTGTGCCCTTGCTGGTGAGGATGGTGCCCCATCACCTTGCTGTCACCCCTGCTCCTGGCTTGCCTTCCCCGGGGAGCAGCCTGCTCTTTGCTTCTCACAATTAATTTATGGAAGACACTTCTTTTCATCTCAGCCTTTTAGCCTTTTTTACCTGTACTATTTGTTGAGGTTTTTTCCTGGGCTGTTGTGATGCACCTAGATTTTATATTGGACTAGGACTAAGAACATATCTATCTAGCTGATTTTAAGAAAATAATATAAATTATTCATAAAGTAGAATTATATAGAAGATTTGTGGTCTAAGAGTAAAGTAGATCTTGTAGTGCTTTTGGAAATATCTGTCTAAGAAATCAGAAATCACACTGGAAGCAAAAAAAGCTCCTGAAAACCATGAAATGGTAAATCAGTCCTAAACATCATTTCGAAGGCTTACTTTTCCTGTTCTCTGTTTCACATTCATACATTGCTTATTTATATTGTATGGGTAACTGGAGGTCTTACCTCACTATCCATTTCAGATGTTCACGTGTGTTGCCAGATTGCTACAAACCTCAGGGAAAGCTCACAAGTCACTGTCCCAAAATGCCCGCTGGGAGTCAGCTCT